TTCGAATGACTGATTCATTCAGGAATGAAGCAAGTGACTGTCATTATGAATGGGTAATTGAATCAGATTGGTTTAAAAACGCAAGTTCATTCATAAACGAAACACCACTGTGTTTGCTTGGAGATGCGCAGCAGCTCAGCTGTGACTTTGTTTGAAACTATTTTCGTTGACGAAATAGAGCAAAATCAGGCAACAGTGTTGTAGTCAGACAATGTAAGTCACTTAATATTAATTTCTTGTTTATTGAACTGTTGTATTAAATCAATATCACATTTGCAAACTCCCTTAATAATCATTAAAAGCGGTCACTCACCTTAGTCTCACAAAGTTCCATTATAATCGACGAAGCTCCCTACACTGCACAATGAATCTCTTATTTACACCCGGTCTACACTTTGTTTGTTATAAGGAGAGGATTCGTGAGTTTGCATAACTCAGTACTGAACAAAACTCCGGTGTTTGAGCAGTGAGTGTATTCTGATTTACGTTGTGTTCAAGGAATCAACAGATATGTCTGTGATACATTACTCAACGCTGCAAAAACACGTTGTAAGTAAGTTAGAAACCTTTGAAGCTCCCCTGAGCGCAAACACAAATATGCTGATTGGGTCAGTCGCACTGGTGCTCCTAAATATTTTTTCATAGTCGCACGCAGTAGTTTTCAGTCGCAAATGCACTGCTTCTCACGCAGGGCTGCGCATCAGCTCACATGCTACGTTTTTTTCTCACGCTACCCCATCTCCACCCCCAATCATTAGCGCTGTTTCGTTTTGTCTTGGACAGCAGCAGTTGGGGGTTCGGTGCCTTGCTCAAGGGCACCTCAGTCGTGGTATTGAAGGTGGGAGAGAGAGCTGTACATTCACTCCCCCCACCTACAATCCCTGCCGGTACGAGACTCGAACCCGCGAGTCCGACTCTCTAACCATTAGGCCACGACTTCCCCAGATTTATACTTCCTCAATAAAACAAACACTTAATAAAGCTCAACACCATAAAATCTCCCTCCATCCCAGTACAAAAGAGAGTATTTCACCACTATAGTTCAAAAGTTTCTGTATTGAATGTTTTGGAATTTTTTTAAATAAAGCGAGTAAAAATGAATGGACTAAAACGTGTCTGAATGACAGAACTGCAGGGAAAACAGCTCCCAAACTCAATACAGCTGTTTCACTTTCAAACAGAGCGATTATTCCATTCTGATGTGCATCTCTCCACTCAGCCAAATAACTATTTTCAAGCTTCTGAGTTGCCAAATTGTCAATTTTTTACAGACACAAAAAGCAGTCACCAGAAGGTTCTGTGGTTTGATGTCTCTGTGACACACGCCCTGGGAATGGATGTAGGCCAAACTGCGGAAAAGCTGATACATATACACCTAAGAGAAAACAAGAAGACAAGCATAAATATCTTTATATTAAAGAAAAGGCAATATCTTAATCAGCTTCCATTTTTATATTAATAAATTCTCCACTGCAATAGAAGAAATAGCGCAGCCTCACTATATTGCAGTGGTCCAATTTTCTCATGATCTGAAGTTCTCGATTCTTCATGAACAGAGAAGAAAGACTGTTAGCATCTCTCAGGGATAAGAGACGTCACAATATTTACAAGCAAGTAGTCACGACAGTACAATTCCCCTACAACAGCCTGGGTTTAAGTGCCTCATTCAAGGGCACAGTGTTTGCTTTGGTAGTGGCCAGCACATGTGGGTCATGGTGGAAACAGTTAGCGGTGTAAGGCTGAAATAGATGGTGGTGTTGGTCGTATAACATACTGGTGAAATATTCAAATCAGAATACTGAGACTGAGAAGGTCTCTTAACCCAAGACTGCTCCCAATTAGTATAAAGCCGGTCGCTCTGAACAAAAAGCATCTGTTGACTGTCAGGTAACATACAAAGAATTGGACATAGTTTGAGTAATACATTGTTGTAATCTTTACATCTACAACTAGTGGATCACAATGAGTGTTAAGATAGTATTATTTATAAACTAGTATTAATCAACAATTTAGTAACTAGTATTTATTAACATTTTTAATTTGCTTTTATTTTTCTGTTTTCATTTTCATTTAGTTTAAAGGAACACGCCACTATTTTTGAAAATAGGCTCATTTTCCAACTCCCCTAGAGTTAAACAAACTCCTAGAAAATCGCATTTTTGTGTGAATTTGTCCATTCAAACACAATACTTCACAGAGAGCTTAATATTTGCTCGTTCTGAGACGCGGGTTCACGCGCTTCGGATGAGCGACCACACACAGATCTTCTCACTGCGCGCGCGAGTTCACGTCTTCTGGATACCAGAATTTGCATCCATCAACAGAAACATGCATTAGCCTAACTCTAACAAACCATATTACAGATGCATTGTCAGATTTAAGTTGAACCGCGGTCCTAGTGCATGCCGAACCGTGTGTGGAGAACGGTACGGTTCGATTTTTTACCGAGAACCGTTGCACCCCTATCTAACACTATAATATTTTGCAGGAAAATACATCTTTAATTTGGTACAAAGTAACCCAATTAGGCAGTTATGATCCACTACACAGGAATTACTCTTAAAAAAAAATATGTAATTGAACAGAGCGAGTGAACAAGTATTTATATGTTTGTGTGTGTGTAACACTGTGTCATACCTTAAATCGCTTATCCTGAAGTACCTTCTTGATGGCCACCCACTCCTGACTGTCAATGAGGCGTGCCTGATACACCACGCCAAAGGAGCCATTACCGATAACCTTGATATCAGTGTAGGACACCTCCTGCGGGCGATCCGGGCCCTGGCCTGGGGTGGCAACCACTGTGGTCACCTTCCCACAGTCTCCTACAACACATTTGAGACATTAGATCTGATTAGATCCCTGGGTGTAAACGAACAAATATGCGCCAGGAAATTTTTGAGGGTGACAATGTTCTTTCAGCATCTATATTCATTCAGAGAGCGATGCTGTTCTCTAAAATAAATATATTCCTCCCTACTTGGCATTTACAGAGTGTATTGGTTCAAAACATAATGTTAAGAAAATATACGCATATATTTTGACTAAAAAAGTAATTTATTTGTAAGCATCACTGTGACCACAACATTTCTAGTGGTATAAAAGCTGTAGACTGATATGCATATTGAACATAAACTTACAAATATAAAGCCTCATACAAGTGTACTTAGCAAAGATAGTAAAAACAGTGTATTTGTGAGTCTAAAGGAAACATGGCACGTATATCACTAAATATGGGCCTGACCTGTCCTTCACACAGGACATTATGACAGTGGGTGTGTCAGGACAGGTGGTTACCACCTATTCAACATGCCCTGCAACCTAGTAAGTTGCCTGGTAAAGCATTTAAACAATCACTTTAATAACAGAGCCTTGAAGAAACATTGTTGTCAGTTATACTTATAAGTTTTTGACACTGTTTCAAATCCTAGAGTGCTGCCTACTTTAGGCAACATTATCCACATTCACACTACACAACTGACTAAGGTACTACCATGTTTTTTGACATCTTACCATGATAATATCATGTTATTTTTGGGTATGGGACAATTGTTTAATCTGGTAGCACCATGGTATTATTTTAAGTACCATATAAATACCATGGTATTAGCATCACTGATTTGCTGTTAATGTCCCAAAAGGGCGTCTGCGCAGCTCAACTGGTTTTGAGGCAGTCAGTATTTCTGAGTTTATAATTTAACTCAAAATTATGACAATTTTAATAGGTTAGCTTAGGCTAGTTTCGTTAATATGACATAACTGTCAACATCAAGAAAACATGGGTGTGTTGTTTAATTACATACACGATATGTCTATTCAACACTCATAACTCTGAGATAACTTCGCTTATATATACTCACTAGAAAGTTTTAAATTTGCGCAAGCAGATGAACTGTCCGCCGAGGCCTGTGAGACCCCGGGCTTTCCTGCGTTGCTCCCCACGACAGCGGCGGATCCGGCGGATGCCGCAGTGGCTCCGGACGCCCCCTGAGGCTCAGCGAACGAGGTCGTCCTGGGCCGCCCGCTGCCGCTCATATCTGACTGAAAGTGTGCCGAGGCTGTGGGGCGAGTATCAGCGGTTCCCTCGTCGACGTGGCCAGGTGCGGGGTGAAACATTGGGTTCAAAACGAAAAGATGACAAACCTTTTTGCCGCGACCCTCAACGTTCACCCACTCTCTCACGCGCTGAGAACACGCGCAGCCTCCTGGGGAATGCAGTTCGGGCGCGCGCTATATTGATCCGGACTCAGAACTACAGGAGCAGGTGTCACACCTGATGAGAGGGTCACTGTCTGCCTCTAACTTTATCATGCACAATTAGTTATTTTTGTATGATGATGATGATAATAATAATAATAATTATTATTATTATTAGTAGTAGTAGTAAAGAAATAACTAAAAAATAAATATTTATTTTTAAATATTAAAATAACTAATTAAATATGGTTATGAAGACTTTTTTGACAGACTCATATATAGTTAGAAAATATTAAAGAAAAAGAGCTGTTCATTATTACACATAACATATAATAAAACTTGAGGTCTGACAAAGGTAATAAATATTAATATAGATTATAATAACACCTTAGATCAATATGCTTTTTCAATATGCCTCTAATTTTATCATCCACAATTAGTTATTTGTGTATAATAATAATGATATTAATGAAGAAATAACTCAAAAACAAATCTATCTACATCTACCTATCAAGCATATTGAGAATCTGATCAAACTTGAGGAATAATAAAGATAAAAATAAATATTAAAATAGATTATAATAATAACCCTGTATATCAATAAAATACAAATAAAAGTATAAAAATGAAGTATAGATATAATTTTACTGATTTAATTTACAAACAAAACCAGATTCTGCATTCAGCGTGCATCTAATAAAAACACGCCATCGTAGTGACAACATGAGCATCTAAAATTTCTAAAACATATCTATATATATCACACATCGCTCTGCGAAAAGAACTACACACAATCTCAAGCGTTGTGTTAGGTCTTTAATTTTTTCAATAATCTCTTGTTTAGAAATATTGCACATGGTCAACATGCCTGTTGATGAGTTTGCACTCACCTTCCTCATTCTAAAACTCCCTTCTCCAAAGTAAAGACAGTTTATTGGATACACAATCATAAGTTGTACACGCATACATGTGCAGGTATGTGTGTAAGCATTTGTCTGTTGCCGGGGGAAGGCAAAGAAAGGCCAGATAAATCAAGTTAAGAATTGAGTTGAATGGTTACATATGCCGATCTCTCCTCACGCACGTCAGTAGCCACCGGTTTTCAGGCATATGCTAACAGTCTTTTAATGTAGTGCCACTGCATTTTCGGGAGGGAAAATATGAATAGCCTTTACTCGGGAGTAAGTTTGATTTGTCAGGGCGCATGTAATGTATAAGCACATACGCTCGCACACACACAGACATCTGTATATCATGAACATATAGAAATATATAGGTATATTTATACATTTATATTGTCACACATTCAAGTGAAGACTGAGTAGCATTTTTATACTCGACACTCCTTCTCTTTCAGCAAAACCAGACGCAAGAAAGTGCTAGGTTACATTTTTTTTTTGCTTGTTCAGTTTGGATTTCTCTCTCGATACTCATTGATTTTTTTACCCCACTCTCCTTTCAATATATATATATTTTTATTACAGCTTGTACAGTGAAAATCTATGGCACTAAAAGGTCACTCGTCTACTTCAAAAATAATTCCCACCCACGTTCTATTGCACCAATGAAAGAAGAGGCAGAGTAAGAAAGAGGAGATCCTGAGAAATGCCGCCCCAGCGCTGGTCTCGGGTCAGCTTTCCCTTGCGTAATCCTGAAACGAAATCGTCGTCGCAGACTACAAAGCTTACTCTGACTCCAGACCAGCGCTTAAAGTGGCGCTTTCCATCAACACTTGGGTTAAAAGTCTATTAAGGAGATGAAAATAATAAGGGCTTTTCCTTATGGGATGTGGAAAGGGTGAATCGAACGCAATGGAACAAAGTTGTTGGTTAGTTTTTAAATATCTAAAAACAAATACTTTCCTGATTTAAATCATGGTCTTGGACCATATATTGTGCAAACACCTGATTGAAATATCAAAAAGCAAGAAAGAAACAAGGAAAAGAACACAGAGAGAGCCTCGTGCCCACCCTCTGCCCCCCTCCCCAGCCATCACAATTATATATATACAGTGTACGGGGAAAAGCCTAAGTCGGCGGCCAGAGAAGAGGAGCTTCAGCTAAGAGGCTAAAACAGAGTCTTTTTTCTTTTCGATGTAATCGCTCCAACACTTAGATTAGTCCATGCTGAAAATATTACTAGAGTAAGAAGAAGAAGAGAGGCGCAAGCTAATACAAAAAAAGATATCAGTCAGTACCACCGTTACGACACAACAACAAAACGACAAAGCATAACTACACGTTGATTCGAAGAGGGGTAGTGTCTCTATTCGTTTGCGTCTTCTTTTCGAGGTTAGGACAATTTTTTCCTCTCTCGCTTTTGAGTGTGCTGTGTTGTTGTTGTTGTTGTTTATGCGATTGTGGCGGTCGCCGTAGCCTCTGTTTTCTGCTCCGCTGGTCTACGTGATTACAAGTCTTAAGTTTGCTGCTTCTGGGATAAAAAAAAAAACCTGTGAATTTACAGCCCGTGCTGAAGAACAGTAACAGCCGATGCATGTACCCCGTCACAGGGGCGTAACATTCGCACGAAGACCCTTCTCCTCCCCCGGCTATTGCTTTCCTCTCGGCCTCTACAAATGAAAGTGCAAGCGCATTTGTACCCCCACCCACCCCGTCCCCGTTTTGGATCGAAAGTTAACGGTACCTCAAACAGTCTAATTTCTCTTCTAAAACATTCAGTCCTTTCGATAAAAATCTGTGCTGGCCCCACGCAGGGGGCTTTACTGAGTGTGTGCAGACAGGCTGGTTTGGTGCTGCCTGTGGTGCAGCATTGAAGGGCTCGAAAATTCCGACAGAAAGTGAAGCCACGCCCTAATGCAGAGGTGGACCAATGACGGCCTAACACGAGTGGCATATGCAAATGAGTGCGACCTCATGCGCTGTATGTAATAGTTCCTTGTGCAAGTCGTTAATGTGTGAAAGTGATATTATTATGTAATTGCATAAAGTGTGTGTGCGTGTATGTGTGTATGTGTAACTGTGCATAACAACAGAACATCAACGAAGTGAACGCAATGGCAACGAAATCGGTTCGATTAGAAACCAAGCAAAATCCACATAAGTGCTGTACTGTATATCGCCAGCGGAAATGGGTTTACACATTTCTATAATCTATCCCTACATTCGTCTTTCATCCTTCCGTTCTGCTTGTCGTTCTTCATCTCGACTCCTGCGGATCGCCCGCGTCTTTCTTTGGCTCTTCCGTGGCCCTGCCCCTCTCATCTGCTTCGGAATTCTCCCTGGCCACTGGATTGGATGGTCCGGGAGTAGAGGCGGAGTCAGAGCTTCCGCTAGCCACACCTCCCATGATTTCAGAACTGCCGGCGGTCTGCATGATCTTCTGCCTTACCTCGCGGATCTTCAGCTGTAGGCACACCTTGTTGGGAAATGTTTCCGAGTGGCGAGCTTGGAAGGCAGCTGTGGCTTGCGCTGTAACAAAAAAAGATACGCATGCTACATTCTTCACAACAATGGCTGATGCTTTTTTTATTTATTTTTTTATTATTTATTCAGAAATCATTATTATATGCAAATTTGGTGCTCAATTATTTCTTGTTATTATCAATGTTGGAAACAGTTGTACTGCTTCATAGTTTTGTGGAAACAACTATACTATTTTTTCAGGATTCATTGATGAATAGAAAGTTCAAAAGAACTGCTTTTTTTTGCTGAATAGAAGTATAAATTGAATTCAAGTCAAAAGTCTGGCTGTGCTATACTGAGAGATGGTTAACTTGATGTTACCTGAGGGGAAGAAGCCGTGCTCCTGGAAGAGCTGCATGACGAGCGCACGCCGCTGGTCCAACATCCTACGCAGAGAGGAAGGCGGCACACGGTCCAACTCCTCCAAAATATGCTCAGTCTCTCCAACTGATAAACACAGAAGACGAGAAAACACACATAAATAAATACCTTAATGCATGGGTTCATGAGACTGAGTTTAGACATAAAAATGAGCCCACCAGCCCTGTCGAAGGTAAAGATGTCCCCTTCACACTTGGCAGCACTCTTGGGCGTGTTGGGTTCTGAGCTACAGCTGGACAGGCGACGACTCTTCCTCCGTGGTGAACTGGGGTCGTCTGCAGAGTCTAGATCTATTGAAGGGAAGAAAAGAAAATGACAGGAGGGATCAAAATCACACAAAAAGCAAAAGTTAGGCAAAAAGGAATCTAGATGCATTACCCTCCTTCTCTAACTCGCTTCCTCGTCTAGTTGTCTAATAAACCAGGCTTGTATATTACAAATATTGTTGGCTCTTTGAAAAATTGCTTTTGTTACTCTTTTGGATAAAAGCATCTGCTAAACGCATGAATGTAAATATAGATTTTATGAAGGAAATGTGGTATATGAAACTACTATTTCTCATTATATTTATCATCTTCTCTCACCTGTAGAGTTCCTCCTCTTCTTGCGGTAGCTGCCCAGTATGGCTCTAGGGGAAGTTGCTAGACTCTGTAGATTGGGAGAGGGCAGCACATCTTCAGGCTTGAACTCCGGCAGCTCTTTAAGACGCTCTTCAAAAGAGGAGCCAAACAGCGCCCTGTGAAAGAGCAAATATAGTTGTTGCAAAATTAAATAATTGGCATATCAGCAGAGAAATAATGTAAATGATGTGAGCAGAAAGATGCAAGAAGAAATGGAGGGATGTGTTTAACCAATGACTACCAATTTTGTGTAAATGCAAAAGAATAAGGCCTGAAAGATAAACAAGCTCTACAATCAAATGTGTTACAATGCATAGGTATAAATGTGCACTACAGTCAGTTTTCCCTTCCAGGTCAAATACTGTCATCATGGCTGAGCAAAAGTTTGAAGAGAATCTTGAAGTGAAGTTAGTAAACTGTAGCTAGCTAACGGAATAATATTACATCTGGTTTGATGTCAAATATATTTAAAGGTCTATTGCCATCACCTTGAAAACTATGATGTGTTAATTTTCCAGTAAAGCAAGGATATTAAGTATATAACCTTGACCACACACTTACAATGCACTGGCCAAGAATATAATGCACCTGCGTACATGCACATATTATGTTTTTTGGCTACCTGTTGATACAGTTATAATCTTCATGTCATTGGCTTATTACAACATTTTTTGAAATAATATATACTATATATATATATATATATATATATATAAAACGATGAAACATTTTAATTTATAAACCGAAACTTTATTTACACTTTAAATTAGAATGAAAGTGAGAAATGCTGCCTTGGCACCTAAGTGAAATAAACAAGTTGAAGTTGAAGCGCTACAATTACTAAAACTAAAAATACATTAAAGCTATAAAAAATGAAAACAAAACTAATAAAACAGAATATATAGAAATAAAAGCTAATCCAAAAGAATAATAAATATCATAATAGTATGTTAATGATATACTAAAACTGCTTTTGACTGATCTTGGGTCATGCCACTCACTTGTCGCCAGCATCAGTAGTGTTTTTCAGTGGAGGTGGGCGGAACTTGGTCTTTTTAGCAGAAGGAGGGTCAGTGTGCAAAGGGGGTGGTGGGGGGTCCAAAACAGAAGCTTCCCAGCGTCTTGCCTGAAAGAAAAAATAAAAAGTGATTAATCGTCTCCTAACTTAATTTAGCAAATTTAGTGAATTTAGAAAAGTTGGATTGCATAACTTAGAAAAGAATCTTACCTCTCGACACTGTTCGTCTTTGCTGTTGGTCTCAGCTTGAGTCTCTGTCTCCCCTTCCATCGCTCTTGCTCTCTCAACTCTCTCTGTTTGAGACGGGCCCCCTCCTACGTCTCTCTCAGACTCTCGTTCCATTTTGCTCCCTTTCTTTCCATCCTCCTTCCCTTCACAATGCTGACCTATAGAACATTTTGAACGTGACTTTTGAGGGACTGCAAGCACAGTCTGTAATGCAAATTGGGGTCAGTGAGATTTTTTAAATAAGCATTTGCATGTGTGTCTGTGTGTGTATGTGTGTATATATATATATATATATATATATATATGTATGAGATAGATATAACACTTTACAGAGTTCTTGTTACACTAGTTACATGTACTTTCTTTGCATGATATGCAACTAACCCTAAACCAAACCCTATTCCTAACCCTAACCTTATAGTAAGTAGAAGTTGTTAATTATTATTCCTTTCTTGAATGTATAATTTCACTGTAACAAGGACACACCTTAAAATAAAGTGTAACCAAATTTACTATTGTACAGTTTATGAGGTTACATTTACCTTTATGTGTGTGTTGCACCGATTCCTCCAAACCACTAGGTGGCGTCTGATGTCCATCCTTTGACACCACCAGGTCTCTCTGTTTCTCCATCTCCTTCCTAGATTCTGGTCCTCTCTCGTTTTCCATGTGCATGTTTACCTGAGACTGCAGCTGCGCATCTGTCTGCGTGTGTGGTTGCGCAGCCGCGGCTGAGAAGGTCTTTGCTTGAGGCGCTAAGGATGATGCTGGAACTGATGTGGATGTTGCTGTGCTTTGTGGCACGGTTGTCACTGACACAACTCCTCCGGCTAAGCTGACGCTGGGGTAAATGGCAGTCACTAGTTGACGGGTGGCCGTCGAGGTTTGTGCTGGTTGTGACAATCCGCTCGGGGGCGGACATGGAGCCAGGAGGGGTGGCTGACCTGCGGTAGAAATTTGATGATGTTTGTCATGCAGTGTTAAATATGTGTTGGTGGTTTAAAGAACTGTCAGTCATAACACTCACTTGCAACAATAGGTTGAACCAAGGCCTGACCGGCTGGGGCAATTGCAGTAAAGCCAAGGGTAGCCACCTGTGATTGCAAAAAAGATGGAACCGAAGGTGACGGGGCCTGCTGGGTGGAAGAGACTGCAGGTGTTGAACCCAATGGCAAAGGAGCCGCAACTCCAGGAGTTGACTGGACATATGTGATCCTGAGCAACAAAAGCACAGCATAAAGTTAGGTTTGAGTCACAGTGACTTATCCAAGACAGACATGTACCTGGATCTTTCTTAACACTCCTGTCAAAGAAACAAACTCCTAACTCTAACTACTAAAAATCAGAGGATAAACGATTGGTAGATTGGTATGAAAGTGTTTGTTTTTACACCAGTTTTAGTTTAGTTTTAGACACAGTTGAGTGTGTATATATATATATATATATATATATTAGGGATGGGAAGATTCCCCGATTCACTCGGTGCATCGGCATAAAAAGTTAATGATGAGATGTATCAGTTTAAAAAGTGTGCATCGGCTACAAGTTGTCATTTATATCACGATGCATCGTTTCTAACATATTTGCATCGGTAAAAAACGATTCATTTATATATAATTACTAGTAGATGCGCTATACTTTTATTATTTAGAAAGTGACCAATAATCTGTGACCAATATTTTATATGTAGATTGATTTCTCCTCTCTAAACTGTTTCTCAAGCGCGTTCTCTCATCACCACTGCTGCTGCGTGATTGTGACGCATCACAACACTACGGAGACCCGAGGAAAAGCGAGGATTAAAGTCCAAAACCTGACTTGAAATAAAGTGACTAAAGTGGTTCCATAAACGACAAATGAAGTTCACACAATCTCACTAATTTGTGCACGATTATTCTTAAGCAGCCCTTAATGTCGATCATGGATCAAATCGATCCACCATGACAAACAGCGAATATATCTGTGCTGTTTAATGCATTTGAGACGTTGTGTTTTCCTCAGTGCATAACTGACATGTCACAGGTATATTTTTCATCTGTAAATGTTAGAAAGTCATGCAAACATATCCATTTTGCTGTCAGGAGTGGGCGAGGCACGCGAGAGCAACGAGCATGCACGCTAAACAGAAGGAGCGCAATCGAATAGGAGCACAATAATTCTGAGTAAAATATACATTTAAAAAATTTGTTTTAGGAGATTAAATGTGTCTTTTGTAGAATTTTAAACTTGCATATAAAGTGTATTTTTATTATAGCAGTAATAACTGTAAAGGGACTATTGTAATAGGTAAATCAAATGTAAGATGTAACATGTCCTACTTCAGTCACTAATGGGTTAGACTGTGTTATATTTCAATGCTCAGGGGCCAGCCTCTGTGTTAAGACAGTGTCTTAAGATCTAGTCTGACCAACTAGCAGTTAGTCAAGCGGTAATCAGTCTTATTTTTTGACTTCAACAGACTAATCTACGTTTTAACGTAACAGAATTAAATACATATGACCAGTCTTAAAGAAAAAAATTTTGACGACTAACTTGTAAGACTAGTCTAAGCCTTTTATGCAACTGGCCCCTGATGTCTAGCTTCAGCTTTAAAGAGACAGTGGGCAGTAAAGTACCTTGTAGGTGGTGGTGTCAAGAGCACCGTCTGTGGAGGGGTGGGCCCAGGGGCCATGACAGTCGTGGTTGGCATAGAGACAGGAAATGAGCTGCCGGTATGCACTGATCCTCCAGGATGAACATTTGTTTGGACCACAGGCATTGGTGCAATCTGAATGACCTGGAAAGCAAAGAAGGGCATGAATCCAACACATCTGTTGCAAATACAATAAATGCTTCTTGTTCATGTAGCGTGATAGTAACTCAAGCCAATCTACCTTACTTCCTAGTTGAGTGCCATTTTGAACAGGAAGGGGTGGACCCACCAGGGAAATTGGCTGCGGAGGTGTAGATCCTGTTCCGACAGTTGCCATGGGAACCAACATCTTGCTCTGCAAGACTGGGGACTGTGCTTGAACTGTGCAAAGAGATGAAAAGGACTGATATAGTAGAGACCGAGAAAAGACTTGATAAACTAATTTTCCTAACGCTGTGTGCATAATCCTGATCCTTGTAAGCTTGGGAAACTTTATTAAGTATGTTGAAAAGCATCAATAAAGGTCACATTCCCTTGGATGAGGACACATTAAATAATTTAAAGGGTACCCACATGTTTTGAAAATAATTTTCCTGACTTGTTCGTGAATGAGTCATTTGTGAAGTGGTTCGACTGAGTCATTGAAAAGAACCAATTCACTCATACATCAAATATTGGGCTTGTTTTACACAAAATGCAATATCTAGTCCAGTCATTCACAACCAGAGGTTTTGCTCTGTTAAACCATTAAAATGAAACTTGAAAATATTAGAGCTTTTTTTATTTTATTTTTTTCCTTTTTAGAAAAATTAAGTAGAATACAAGATAAAATTTATTCATTTCAGGTTAGATGTCAACATTACTTTTAATACTAATATAATAATAATAGTAATAACACTTTTATTCAGCAATGACACATTAAATTGAACAAAGTTAAATAAATGTATAATGTTACAAAAGGCTCCTATTTAATAAAAATGCTGTTCTTACTTTCTTGAACTTCAACAAAAAATCCTGAAAAAATTTTCAGTTTTCATAAAAATATTAAGCAGCACAACTATTTTTAACAATGATAAGAAGAAATGTTTTTGAGCACCAACTCAGCATATTACAATGACTTCTAATGTGATTTTATCACTGAAATAATTTACATTTTACAATATATTCAAATAAAACACATTTATTTTATGATGTAGTATTTCTGAATGTTACCGTTTTAATCAATTTATTATCATTTTAATTTTTTTTTCAAATAAATGTAGCCTTGGTGAAAAAAAATCTTACTGACCCCAAACTTCCGAATGGTAGTTTACACTGATCAAGTAATTGAAAGAAAATTAACTTAAAATTAATGTATATTACTTACTATAAAAATATGCATGAATTTTAATATTTGATTAATTTCCATCATTTTTACAGGCCTGAAAAAAAATGTAAAAACTGGAAATCCTGAATTTAACTGAACGTGTGTCTGATTACTTCACCACAATTTAACTGCCCTAAATCTCACCTCCACCTCCCGGGCTGACTCCTCCCACTGCTGGGACTGAAGCATATCTTATTCCTTGCCCCGACCCTAAATGTACACCATTGGCCAGGGTCACATGGGTGGGTGCGGCACTGGGCAAGGTAAGGATGTTGGAGGCCTGCTGGGTCTGCTGGGCGGAGGGACTGTTGGGATTGGCAGTTGCAGGCAGAGTTGGAAGGATGTACTGAACCTGTGTTACAGGTTTCCCGCCACTAGGGGGCGAAATGGAGGCGGCTGGGAGGAACTGGTGATGAAGTAGGGGAAGGGGTACTGCACTGCTATTAGGGGCTCCGTTGCATGGAGTAGGTTGGGTTGGGGTGATGAGCTGAATGGTGGGTTGGTTTGGGAAGGCTCCTCCCAGGACTAGGCCAGTAACTAAGCTTCCTTGCCCATTAGGTTTGGGGGAAGAGGAGGGAAAGTACCCACCTCCTCCTGCTCCGCCTGCACCGATTAGTAGCTTGGGCTTCCCGTCTGGAGGTAGGGTCCCAACAGCCACATCCCCATCAACTGGCTTGCTGGCGATGGAGATAGGGGTGCTAGTGATGGGACGAACAACATTGGTCACTACGGTGGGGGCCATCCTGACAGCACCTTGCAAAGGGTACTTCCTGGCTTCATGCGGCAAATTGGCATTTATACCAGTAACGGAGGCCGAATTAACATGGAACGGAACCTGCCCTCCTCTACCTCCTCCTTTCCCTTCTTTGGGCCCCCCATTATCCAGCTCTGCGCCACCCATCCGTCTCTTCTCCTTCTTCTCCAGGTTCTTTTCATGCCGTTCTTTGTCGTCTTTGTAGACAGTTGGAGACAACCCCAAAGAGGAATGGACTGGTTGGAAGGTGCGCTGAAGAGAAGAAGATCATCGTGACAGGGTTATTACAGTCAACTAAACTAAAACCATAAAAAAGTATTTGCTACTTGGAATAAAATAAACATCAACTGAAATAAAATTAATTAGTTTTACTTGATGTAAAAAAATAAATAAAAAACTAAAATAAAAATTAAAAACTATATAGACATAAAAAAAATAAACATGACAAAAACAACAAAATTACTTTAAAATTAAAATGGAATATATAAAAATAAAAACGAATCCAAAATACTGATAAAAGCTTTAAGAGTATTTCAATGTTACTAAAATAATACAGGTTTGGAATGACATGAGAGAGAATAAATAATGACAGAATTTTGGGTGAAATATCCCTTTAAGGCAAACAATTTGGTCAGTGAACCATCTAAGAGAAGGAACGCTCAGAGACATCTGCTGCCTTGTGAGTATATCCATTGGCGTGGAAAACCTCACAAGAAAATCCTGAAGAAATAATAGTTACTTGCCAGACAACCAAACACACAGATGCTGAAATAATCTGGTTTTATAAGCCAGAGCAAATATCATTTCTGTTGCTATGGTAATGAGGCTTATGTAATTTAAAGCATATTTATTAACAAAGAGCTCTATGGTCCTTTCATCAATCAAATATAAACATTGACTTCCCTCAAGACAACATGTGACAGCTGGATGTGGTTAGCAGGTGAATAACATTGACATTTTTAACTTGTATACTGAGAAAGTGTGTTTTTGTCACCATTTTAATCAGATTTCCAAAGGAATTTGGAATTTGCATGTAGCACAAAATGTTTATTCATTAAAAAAAAAAAAAAAATCAATAACTGAACAACAACTGATGCACTGTGGGATACATTGCATGACATGCCATGCCAACTACCCATGTGATGTATTAAGTGTTACCTTGCTGTCAGCTTCATCTGCATGGTCGTTTTCGTCATCGCTGTCTGTCACTCTCTCCTTACACTTCAGGTCAATGGAGCCGTCTGCAAACGAGTCCTCTGTGGAGGAATCACACGTTAGCTGTGAGACCAGGGCTTGCAAATCTCACACTCATGGGACTGAGAGCTCTGAGCAGTGAGGAGATTTTGCCTTTCCAAAATAAATTAATGATGTTTGGATGGCGGTGGTGCATCAGAGAGCACAGAGCTCGTGGGAGACACAGACTCAAGAATCAGTCAGGACTGACTAATAATGAGAAAATGAGAATGGAACGCAAAACACTTGCAACATCAAAACCGAATCGCTAAAAGATAATCATTTTCTGATGGTGGGTACGTTCCACGTATAACAGCATTATCTACAGATCAGGGGGTTTTGGGGTCTCGTGTTGCCTACAATGCAGAAAACACAGATGGAATCACAGAATCCAGTCATAAAAATTAAAATTTACCATATAACGCGGAATGTCACAGAACTTGATTAAATTTGGATTTGTTTCTATTTTTTTTTCAATTTCTATTGAAAAAAAATAATCAATTTTTATCCATAGAATCCATATTTTAAAAAATCAGAATCCAGAAAAATTAAAACGGAAAACATGGATTTTTTTTTTGTATAGGACCCTAGGTTTCCAACAGATTTTCTCGTGGCAACACTTTACTTACATTAACTAACATTAATACAATATTTAATGTTTGACAGATCATTAGTTAAAAAGTTGAACATTTCTGAAGAAACTATGAGTGGTGCTTGCATATGCAAAATATGCCACAATGATACTAAGGAGTTCTGGATGGTTGCTGTGAATCTTTGAGTAGACAGCGAATCGATTCGATTCACGATTCATAGGTTTTCGATTCGATTCAAGAACGATTTTTGCAAATTCAGAACGATTCAATTCGATTCAATTCACAATTAAATTCGATTCGATTCGATTAACGATTCGATTCTGCATTCTTTAAGTGCATTCACAGGATTATTTAAATGCTTCCCCTAAATTCTTTAAATTCTTAGTCTGGGGGCAAATTACACAGCAGCCTTTATGATTAGAGAACCATGGGTTAGAGAAAAAACACTTTTGTCCATTGTTAGATGCTAGTTTAATGATGCTATGGCATGACATGGCGTATGTAGAAATTTATGTAAGTCAAGATTTTAAAAAAAGAGCTTCAAAAGTATTATGTATAGGCTAACATTTTGTCACGCCAGGGGCGTAGCCACATTTTGTCACACCAGGGGCGTAGCCATCATTTCAGAAGTGACAGAAATGTCAAATACAATAATTTTATGTATGTATGCATCATTATTTTTTATAGGAATTATTTTCATATCTCTTACTTTGAATTTGCTATAAGAAATCAAATACACTGCTGGACAATAATCAATCATTTGTAATCTATAATTTTTTCCTAATGGCAATTTTATGATTGTTTTATATACTACAAAAAATATTTCAATTTTCTGCACAGAATTAGGTAGAACATATACTTTATAGTTTCCTTACTGTAATAAATTATATGTCAATTAGCACTGCATCATTCATAAATTGTATTAATTTATTGTGTTTATTGTCTTAACGTTTCAGTTCATTTTGCTTTTTATTCAGATTAGTTGCAGATATAGCCTGGCACGTCTATGAGCGCGAGAGTGTCAGTGAGACGAACGGAGCGCGAGCGCAATCCTGTGACAGTCTCGGGCGGTAAATAGTGGAGTGCATGAAGGAGAGATGCGAGGGCACGAACACTGTTCAAGGTTTAATTGATTTTTAATTCCTGCCTGTAGTAATTTAATGTGTATATATTTTGAAAGCATTGAATCGCTATAGAAATCGTGATTCATTCGATTCTTAGCGTTTTAAATCGATTACTGTCCGAAATCGACGAATCACGATTAAAAAATTCATGTTTCAAGATCGATGCACTGCATCGTCAGGGTTTGTAATCGATGCATCGAGAAAACGAGTGAATCGTTACACCCTTATTGCTAGGGCATTGCAGGTGGTTGGTAGGGTGATATGGATTGCTGCTAGGTATCATATTGACAAAGATGTATCCATCTTATTTTTAACATACGGCAATTTGTAACTTGAATGTGCAAGAATTTCCATGTCATTCACTTCTAGTTATTTGTAGCTGTACAAAACAGCGGCTTGATATTGCGAACCTGTATTTTAATGTATTATGAACAAATTGGTTTGTAGTGCAAATAGTTTTACCATTTACTGCACTTTGTTATTCCTCCAGTTATTTCAATCAAAAGTCGCACATTCACAGAAAATAGCTTACTTTTGTGTTGCAAAATAAGGTGGATATTATGCACGTAATTTACCTAAGACATCATCATCCCCCTCTTCACAGATAACCATAGGCTCTTCATCACTGGTCACATCCTCACTCGGTCGTCGAGGGTGAGCAGGACGACGGGGATGAAACAGTCCCGCACTTTCCAGTGCTCTCTCCTTCTCCCTGCTCTCCAGATTATGCACAGCACTCTGGGAAAAGGCGCGAGGCCGTTGAAGCTGCCCTCCCATTGATCCTCCGTGACCGTCAGACCGAGGTGAAGTCCAGCTGGGCCCTGCTCCTTTGTGGACGGCCCCCTGAGATGTGGAATGGGCCACTGGGGAGACAAAGAAGGTTAATTCAACATCAGTTGTGTTTCACACTACTATGCACTCATAGTTTCACAAGACCAGCAAACGCCCACGCATATAAACAAACTCCCACACGGACCTGTACTTTCAGACACGCTATGCTCCTGAGCTTCTTTGGCCCCTGGAGTTCCCCGGCCCTCAGACAGGGACTTCCTTCTGTCCTTGTTACACCATTTCCAATCAGGGTGAGCCCGGAAATGAGCCTCCTTCACCTAAAAGACAACAAGAGTAAGACAAGAATAAACTTCTAAGTTACTAATAAAGTAACAGGCTTAATAAATAATAACTGTGCAACACTTGGATCATGCACATATTTTGATTTCTAATATTTTTACATGAATGTAATGTAAATGCACATTTTTAATCTATGATAATTTCATTTAATAAATTTGTAATCACTATATCGTATTATTAAGTTATGAATGATTAATTTCGATTACACTACACTACATTAAACTACCGTTTAAAAATTAGTGGTCAGATATTTTTTTTAAAGAAATGAATATATTTAGCAAAACTTTATTCATCATGCATTAAATTTATCCAAAATAAAGTAAGTGATTTATTTAGTTAGATTTCTATTTCAAATAAATGCTGTTCTTCTGAACTGAATAAAAATGTATCACTAGGCGCGTTTCCATTACCCTTCAAATTGCACAAATTGAAATTGCGAATTGAAAATACGCCTAATGGAAACGCGTCAATTTCGCAAAAACGCCCATATATCGCAAAAAAGTTTTTACGCTCGCATGAGGTGGTTTTTCAGGCAATGCGAAAAAGGAATAATTCGCAAAACTGCAATGGAAATGTTTTCCATTCACATGATCATTCTTCAATGTACTATAACCTCCAAGAAACACTTCATAAGTGGCCGCGCTCCAGTATAAGGGGCTTTCCCTACCATTAATGCTTAGACAATTTACACTGCACACGTCTGCGGTGCAGTGTGGCTCTGATACGGCCACTGAAGCTGATTGCGGCCACTCTAGTCAATGCTTGTGTTTATTCCACCCGCGCATCGCACGTTTCTGAAGCGGCTCTCTGTGCTGCTTCTGTAAAGATACACGCATACGCCTCCTTTGAATAAATATAGCCAAAATCCGTCAAAATCCCACCAAAATCCATTGCCATGACTTATCGCGAGAGGCAAAAGGTTACGTTTTAGTCGCATAACATTGGTTAATGGAAACGCCGTCATTTCGCAAATCTGTAATGGAAACGCGCCTATTGTTGACACAAAATTATTAAGCAGCATAACTGTTTTTAACATTGATAATAATAAGAAGAAATATTTGTTGAGCAGCAAATCAGCATATTAGAATGATTTCTGAAGGATCATGTGACACTGAAGACTGGAGTAATGATGCTGAAAGTTCAGCTTTGCATCACAGGAATAAATTATATTTTAAAATACATCCAAATAGAAAACAGTTGTTTTAATTGTAATAATATTTTACAATATTACTGTTTTTGTGTATTTTTGATCAAACAAATGCAACCTTGATTAACATAAGAGAGCACGAATGTAATGTTTTAAAAACATTTTTTAAAAATTTTGAATAGTAGTGCATATTGGCATTAAATTGGCCATCAACCACCCTGCTTTCCAGATATTTGCATCTACAGTACATACTGTATATCGACCACTGTAAAACTGATATCAGTCTATCACTAATTCAAATGCAAAACCACATTTTAACTTCACGTTATGTCTTAATTTCAAAGGAAAGACAACAGATTGGTATGACATCTTCCTCTTATGCAGTATTTCATAATAATTCACAAGAAGGACTGTACCTGGAAGGCAAGATCATGATACTTCTGCTTCTCTTTGGGTCCCAGCGCGTACCACCACTCACCCAGTATTTTACTGACAGTACGGTTGTCCTGGTTGGGGTGCCGCTGGTGAACCAGGCCACGGTGCCGCTTACTAAAGATCATAAATGCGTTCATTGGCCGCCTGATGTGGTCCTTTTGCCTCTTTGTGGTTTGAGAGAGAAAGAGAGAGAGAGAGGAGAAATGATGTGTACATTTTTATAGCACGTTTAACAGAAGACAATAAGGGAAATGAATGATTGCAATGCTTAATGATTGTAGCCTGAAACCTTTGACAAGTTTCCAGGGTAATTTTTCTGCTCTCACTAAAAGCGAGTGCGCGGGACTGTCCGGCGCTACTCAAAGGAAACCAAGCAACTGACAAAATGTATTGCTGTATTTCACTATTGCAGCTGACTAGGAAACTGAAATGTACCTTCTTGTCACCTTCTTTTGGGAGTGCACTGAGAGATTGTGTGCGCCTTTTCACTGGGCTGATGGATGGAGCAGTGTCTTGAGCTGGAAAAAAACTAAAAAATTAAATTAAATTTAAAAAAAAGAAGAAGAGAGAATTGCATCAAAAACAGTAACCAGAAAAAAGTTTAAAAAAACACAAAAATTATTGTGATTTCTTTTTAATAAAACATTTTTTCCCATAATATGTGTATATTATATTTCATTATGAACCAATTTTTTGAAAATATTGTAATCTTTATGTTTGCTTTTATTGTCAAGAGGTGAGATGCAAACAGATATTTACAGATCATCAGCATCACTCTCGGTCTCACTGTCACCTCCTCCTCTCTCCACAGGTGGGTCTTCAGCAGTAGGAGGGGGGCAAGACGGGGAACCTCTCTGTGGTGCTGGACAGTCAGTAGGTCCCTCAGTCACAAGGGCAACTCCACAGCGAGGTTCTGCAAGTTTATTCAGTTTCAAAACATCAGCTGAAAACATATATTCTGAATGTGATTTTGTGTATATTCTATGCAGTTTCATACAGGAAAATGTTGCAACGTCAAATTATAGTGTTTAGTTTTTTTCTATCAAATGTTACCTTTGCCCTGATTTACAAGTGTTTGGCCATCTGCAGGCTGCATGCACATTTTTGTTTGGTTGGTCTCCAGAAAAGGAACCAACGAATGCCACGCAAACACTGGCACAGAGCGGGGCTCCACGTTGGTCCAAACTAAATGAAGAAACACACAAACCTTTTATATATACACACAACTGTTTCGCAAAACCTACAGCCTCTCTATTCTCTTAAGAGGGAACTGGTGAAAAAGCACCTTTCTGTGTCAGACTGAACCTGAATGAAAGCCATTCATATACATACTGTATATCTGTATATCAGTGATTGGTAAAACAAAGAAAGTGTGTAACTGTCCTAGGCATCTGTCATTCCAGTGAACTGTGTATCTCAGATTAAGTACTCATTAGAATCAGGGTGGTCCAATCACCCTCTAGCCGTGCATGTCTGGGCAAGTTCCTGTGTATCATTTCAGACATGCTGCAACTGTCTAAAGAAACACTGACCCTGAAAGCACAGTGCATTCTTCACTACACACACCCAAACACACCTGCTGCTGACCAGCATACCAAAGTCACTCTGAGTCCCCCTTATTTTTGCAGTTTGTCAACAACATATTCTGGCCAGCACAAACTAATCCAGAAACATTTTTTTAATTTTCTCTTTCGTAAAAACAAACTATAACAAATTAATTAATTTGAATAAAATTAATGTGAATAGAACTGCCTACATAATTTGGCAGTGGAAGAATTTGGTACTACATTTTTAATGATTAAATATTCAAATTGACTTTGTTACCTTGGGAAATCAAAGCATAGCTTGTGACATTTTGAGATTTACTCTGAAACATGTGAGAATCTTTTTCAGAGATAACGATTCATTTAATGCATCCTTGATCAATAAAAATATGAATTTCTTTTTTTTTTTTTTATAAATCATACTGATTATACCCTATTATGCCCTAAACTTTTGAATCGTAGAGTACAAATAATAAAAAGTTGGCATGCTCACATTTTTAAAATTACTTTACATACTTTAGACTGTGAGTGGCTATGGTAATCAATAATTTACAAATGTAAGTGTTCTAATTGGTTTTATTTATCTTTCATGTCTCTTACCAGTGCCAGGTCGTCCCATGATGATGTCTTTGCGAGGAGCAGGGTGAGGGGACTCGGCTGGCAGGATGAGTGGCAACAGAGCAGTGGGTGAAGGATGGCAAGCCACAGGCTGTGGGAGAGCACCACCCGCATCTGCAGGCCCACCTGACTTCCTCTCTTGCTCTTTCCCTCTTGAGCCACATAGTGCAAGGGCAGGTCCAATGGTTGCATTAGAAGTGGACACATTCAAAGTGGCAGAGTTTGAATGGGCGGGATGTCCAGGAGCCACAGGTGTCAATGACTGAGAGGAAGTCACCAGGAGTAAGGTGGAAGCAGGATTGCGAAGGAGAACGGCTCCGTTGGTGGCGGCGCCATTGATGGGCACAGGGGCCTGGAGGCCCATGGCATGGTGAGGGGGCTGGCTGTGCTCCCTAGAGCGTGAGCTTCCTCTACGGCTCACGGGACCATCGCTGAATTTTGCCAGTGGTACATCGGGGTTACGAACAATGACAGGCGAATCGCGTAGGGGAACAATACGACGTGAGCTGGGATCCTGTGGCAGGGGTGAGGGTGGTGTGGGAGAAACCAGCATAGGGGGTGGAGTGGAAGCGGCAGAGGATGAGGGTCGACTTGTGATGCTCCTCTGTCGAGGGAATGAGAGAGATGAGGGGGTGGTAGGCTGGCTTTGGGGGGACAGAACCCTGAATGCTACTGCGTTGAGGTTGAGGCTGGGGTCATTTAGCTGAGGATCAGATTTCGCATAGTCTAATGCACTGGGCAGTGGGGGTAGTGGGGCATCCAGCTTACGTTTACTGGGACTCATGGGTACAGTGAACGTCAGATTGGTCTGAAAAGTGGGCATGATGCCAGAGATGTGGCGCTCACGTTCTGTGCTGGGAGTGCCAGGGATTTTTGTGCCACTGAGATGGCGAGGGCGGCGAGGGGTCAGAGGTGCTGTGATGGGGCTGAAATTAGCTGGGCGGAAGCCAAATAGTGTGGGTGAGGGGGACGGCGCAGGTGAGAATGGTGACTGATTGGATACAGGTGAGAATGAGGGCGTGCATGAGCGTGAGCTGCCAAGTGAGACCAGCATATTTGCAGCCTCGCACTCATCAAAGTCAAAGCGGGACATATCACGTGGCAGTTCTTGTGGTATAAGAGAAGTCATCACCAGACGTGGTCGCGAGTCCCCGCCACGGCTGCTTGCTTCACTGCTGTCTCGTGAGTTGTCATCCCAGTCATACTCGCTGCTGGTGCGTCCACCTAAACGTAGGTCAGGTGTGAGAGTGCCCGTGCTACTGGCACCACTCCTGTCTCGGCCAACCCCGCCTCCGGCTTCCATCTCTTTGGTGCGTATGGAGAGATGCCGCGAGCAGTAGCCGCGCCTCTGCGACTCCTTCGAGCAACCTTCACGTGAGCACAGTCTGCGCCACTGCTTGCCGTTGAACTTCTTGCGGATGCCTGTAGGGGTGCACACCACATCGCCCTTCTTGTACTTCTGTTGAGCGGCTGTGAGGGGTGTGCGGGAACGTGACGAAGAGGACGAGGATCCATTGCCACCCCCTGACGCACCATGTGAGTTGGAGCTAGGGGTCTTGTCCAGGGAGCCTCGAGAAGAGCTTCGGGGCAAGGGAGGAAGCTGGGATGTGGAGGAGATGACTGCCGCACCTGTGGCTGAATCCAGGCCCAGGAGGGCTACACTGAGTACAGATGTGATGGCAGGGTTAACGGCAGAAGACGAAGAATGTGGTGAGGTGAAAGGTACAGTCACAGGATGCAACAAACTCGGAACAAACGTTGGTCTAGTCAGTTGAACCACCTCCTGCTCCACTTCCATGTCCTCTCTTTCCTCCCACTCTCGTTCTCTTACCCTCCTACAATCAATCCCTGGCTCTGCTGGCTGGGGTGGCTCTAGGTCCCAAGGAGGAACCAGGAGGCGGAGATTTTGTCGTGAGACCCAAATGGCCTGAGCCCTTCCATCGTCCTCTACACCTCTCCTCTCCTTTCTCTCATCAGATAAATCTTCCCGTAGTTGAACACGATATGGGAAAGACACAGCTGGGTGTGGATCTACTTGAGTGACTATACCTTCTCTGTACCACTGTTGCGCTCCCTCACTGCCCTCATCACCTCCTCCAAAGGGGACGCAGACTCGTGTGCCTATAGCCACCAGGGTCACACCAGGAGGTGACGCATCTAGAATAAGGTCAACAGAATCAGTAGCCACTCGAAATGGGTACTTGCATATGGTCTTTTCTCCATTTAGTTGCACCTCCACAATCCCATGCTCCTCGCTAACTCTCCGCACAACTCCAGTGCGAAACACTCCAGACATTTCCCGGCCCCGATCGTGAGGCCAGCCTTCCCCTAATCTGGGACCCTGTCGGGCCAGAACTCTCTGATTTTTGAGACCTTTGGCGAGGACTCCAGCTAAACCAGATGACAGGCTCTCCTGTGAGGATGCTGAAGTGTTATGTGCTTGTGGCTTTTGGGAGTTGGAGTGAGAATCACGTCTTGAAGCTGTCACTTCTAGGTCGGCTGAGTGTTCGCTGGCTGTATCGGTTGAGGAGCAACGCTGTGGGCTAGATGCGCTCGTCCCATCCCTCTCTCCACACTCACCTGCAGTTCTACCTGTAGGTCCAGTTACATTGTTGTGTCTGTACCCAGTAATGCTGTCCTCAGCCAGCTGGCTTTGACCTTGTAGGTCCGTGTGTGCAGCAGAGGCAGCTGGGCCCTGGCTAGCACCACTTCCGTTATGCGAGCCGCTGCTGCTCTGTGGGGGTGTGCTGGGAGTGCTGGAGTTGCCATGGTTTCCGGCATAGTGCTCCGAGGTGTACTTCTTCTTGGGCACACGGGCTTTAAAAGTGGCCGTTTTACGACTAGACGAAGGGTTGGGGCTATTGCTGGCACTGGTCGTGCTACTGTTGCTGTCACTCTGTGTTCCGCCAGACTTAGAGCTTCCGGGGCATTCCTCTGTCTCCTGGCTCTGCTGGCTGGGGTGGCTCTAGGTCCCAAGGAGGAACCAGGAGGCGGAGATTTTGTCGTGAGACCCAAATGGCCTGAGCCCTTCCATCGTCCTCTACACCTCTCCTCTCCTTTCTCTCATCAGATAAATCTTCCCGTAGTTGAACACGATATGGGAAAGACACAGCTGGGTGTGGATCTACTTGAGTGACTATACCTTCTCTGTACCACTGTTGCGCTCCCTCACTGCCCTCATCACCTCCTCCAAAGGGGACGCAGACTCGTGTGCCTATAGCCACCAGGGTCACACCAGGAGGTGACGCATCTAGAATAAGGTCAACAGAATCAGTAGCCACTCGAAATGGGTACTTGCATATGGTCTTTTCTCCATTCAGCTGCACCTCCACAATCCCATGCTCCTCGCTAACTCTCCGCACAACTCCAGTGCGAAACTCTCCAGACATTTCCCGGCCCCGATCGTGAGGCCAGCCTTCCCCTAATCTGGGACCCTGTCGGGCCAGAACTCTCTGATTTTTGAGACCTTTGGCGAGGACTCCAGCTAAACCAGATGACAGGCTCTCCTGTGAGGATGCTGAAGTGTTATGTGCTTGTGGCTTTTGGGAGTTGGAGTGAGAATCACGTCTTGAAGCTGTCACTTCTAGGTCGGCTGAGTGTTCGCTGGCTGTATCGGTTGAGGAGCAACGCTGTGGGCTAGATGCGCTCGTCCCATCCCTCTCTCCACACTCACCTGCAGTTCTACCTGTAGGTCCAGTTACATTGTTGTGTCTGTACCCAGTAATGCTGTCCTCAGCCAGCTGGCTTTGACCTTGTAGGTCCGTGTGTGCAGCAGAGGCAGCTGGGCCCTGGCTAGCACCACTTCCGTTATGCGAGCCGCTGCTGCTCTGTGGGGGTGTGCTGGGAGTGCTGGAGTTGCCATGGTTTCCGGCATAGTGCTCCGAGGTGTACTTCTTCTTGGGCACACGGGCTTTAAAAGTGGCCGTTTTACGACTAGACGAAGGGTTGGGGCTATTGCTGGCACTGGTCGTGCTACTGTTGCTGTCACTCTGTGTTCCACCAGACATGGAGCTCCCGGGGCCTTCCTCCGTTTTCCCGAAATCCACTGCTATACTGAGGACGCCCTCCTTTTCCGGAGACCCGCTTCTTCTCAGTGGCCCTTCCTGTGATGAGTCAGAATTTGAGGAGAAATGTCTCTTGGGAGAGGTGGGTGAAATTTGGGGTTTTTCCTCGGTTTCTCTCTTCTCTTCCTGTGGGCTACTATCCGCTGTCCTCCTCTTAACTCCTTTGGCGCGAGTGGATGGGGGCGACCGCCTTTCTTGCTTTTTAATGGGCTTCATCTTTTCTTGCTCTAAGAGAGTCTCTAATCCTCCTGATTTCCTGCGAGTCCCAGCCTATCAATATCTTCCACTCTGTTTCCCTCTTGCATCCCACCCCTTCTCTGTCTTTTTCTTCTGTTCCTGTCCAAGCCTCTTCCTGTTATCGCTGTCCTTTCCTTCTTAAATTAGAGCCTGCAATGAAGCACAGCACATGAGGTGGATCAGTCTGTTATACAGCACTACAATTCTCATATAGAGAAGGGAGTATGGAATACAGCATATACAATAAAAAAACAATTTAGTGCACAAAATAAAGTTGTAAGTTTAGTGCCTAATCTCATCGAAACATCTTCATAAGTCTGAAAATATGTAACATATCCCTAAAAAGTGGATATAACACAACTTAACACAGAAAAAATTTGAAAACGACAGAACACAAAGAAAAATGCTTGCCCAGACAAGTCACACACTCACTTTGTTTTTTTGGCTGGATCAGAGGAGGCGGGGGAATTCCTTGTTCAGTGGTATTTCTGTGACTCTAAGGCTCTGTCTCTCGCTCGCTCTTTCAAATGACCTTTTTGCATTCGTTACAGAGGCAATCCACCCCTACAGTCCTCACTTCCTGTCACAGCACTACAACATCTCAATGTACAATACGATCCTTACACATTACTACTTACACATTCTTTCCTCCTATCAAAACACCCTTTTCTTCACCATCCAAACTTCTTACAGTGTGGACTGTGTTTAAAGCCCATTTAAAACTCACAGATATGTTATCAACATTAATGTTTGCATAAATATATTTAGACACTTGGATACACTTGCTACAAACCAGTTTATATACACCCTACATAGGGCTGCACGATAAATCGAAATGGAATCGAAATCGCGATTCGACAGAAGCTGCGATTGTCATACGTATCTTTCAGTGAAGCACGGTTCTGTGATCAGCAGTAAATCTCCATCCAAAGGCCAGAGGGCGCTCTCGCGCTGAAACTTTAAATACGTCTCGCAGAAGAAACCCAGGAAATGCCTATAGCTGGATAATTCTGTTTAGCTGGATAAACAGAAGATTTAACTCCTTTTATTGATTCAACGTGACTAATAAACACACGATTATGACAATACATGGTTTATCTGAGTTATTATTATTATAATTTTCATTAAAATAAAGTATATTTATAATGCAATGCCTTTATCACTGCTTA